CCTTCGTGAATGCCCTAGCATTTGCTAGATATAGGATAGGCTGGTATATAAATAAGAGGGTGACGGCGTGACGCGATAATGTGTGTAGGTAGTGAGTAATTGAACTGCAGTCAGAAGTATTGTTGAAGTTAACGTTCGTTGTTAAAACGTTTGTTACAGAGCGACTGTTGAAAATAAGTGTATCGGTAAAGTTATATTCAGAAAGAATAAACCAGTTTTATTAAGTAAGGACTTGTGTCGCTAAAATTTAGTAGGAACGAAATTACGGAAAGTTAATTAACAAACGGAGACGTAACAATAACGGGTTTTAACTTGTTTGTAATTTCAGTCTCATTTTAAAGTAGCGTTAACAATTTAGTTGTTTTTAAATGTTATTGTTTTCTTTGGGCAAACCTACACAATGGGCTATCTGCACTTTGTTGTCCTCCTTGGGTATTCGAACTTCCGGATTTTAGCGGTATAAACACACCGTTAATACTACCAGGTGACTGTTTTCGAATTAATGTTTCATTAAATATTCTTCACTTACGTAAGATGGAACAATCTGCAAGAACTTTAACGTTAAATATGCATAAATTACAGAAAGAAAAATGCCTATATACTTTGCAACTCAGTAAGTTCATAATTGAAACCCCTTTTTAAAATATTGCCTCTTTCAGGTTTTTAAGTAACTTCATTTTCCACACGTTGTTAATAAACATAGGATATATATATATATCACTGATTTACAATAGAGCTCTAACTTGTTTTCAATTTTTTATAGTTTTAAAGTGACTACTTTTTTGTTTTCATTCTTTCTCTACCCCTTTTGTTGTTGTTAAAACTCCCTGTTAGCCACCATCCACTCACAAGAGGGCATTAAATCTATATCGAGCACATGACGCTGAGGTTTTTTTTTGTTATTATTAATTGTGTGAAGATTGGAAGAATAAGTAAATTAATAGCGGCGCAGCCTTATTCATTAGGAAAAGCAGTACCAGAATATATTTAATAAGGTATTGAAGTTAATAATGGGAGCACAACCAAGTAAAGACCTTGAGTTGGAAGAGTACTTGAGTTATTTTTCTCTGGAAGAACGGGCTAAATTGGAACAGACGTTCAAACAAATTTTAGGAGAAAAATGCGACTCTGCCATAGACTGTTTCAATCTGGATCAGTTGCATGTATGTGGTAGTTTTAATTTTATACACTTACAAAGAAATTTTAGGGTATTTTATGTACTGTTGGCTAGGTGCATGAAGTTAATGTTATCATTATCATTAACACAATATAATGTTTATGGATAACACAAGGGACCTATTGGTCCATCTCGGCTGTCCCATCCTCTAAAGTAAACTAAAACTGTCAAATAAATAAATATCTTAAAGCTAACCTTTATCATTCATATAATTATCAAGTTTTTTCTCAAACACGCTTAAAGTTACTGCCTCCACAACATCCGAAGGCAACCCATTAGAAAAATAAACTGTCTTAGCTGAAGATGACTCCTACCATGCAAAAATTTATATTTGTGTCCCCTAGTCTTACTATTCTTACTGTTAAGTATGAAAAAAGATGATGCATCAACACTATCGGTACTCTTTACAATCTTAAATACCTCAATCAGATCCTCTCTAACTCTTCTTTTTTCAAGAGAAAACCGTTTAGAGATCTTAATCTCTCCTCGTATGATAACCCCT